TTTAGGAGTTTAGGGCTTTGGGTTCATGGCCGAGGGTTAAGTTAAGGAGTTTAGGCATTACGACTTTTGGTCCAGCGCATTGACGCTTAGGGTTTGGGGTGCTGTCTGTTGCTCGCGAAAAAATGGAGATCTGAATCAATAGTGCTACTGCCTGCATGTATTCCCTATAGTCCTATCCTGTCAGATACCCCACAGCTCTATTCCTTTCATTCTTGAGGCCGCTGTTTTGATATTCGGTCTGAAGAGGCTTTCATGGGTTGAACCCATGTCCCATGTAAACTGCCTCAAGAAGCCTCAGTTTGGAGGCGCTTTGCGTAGCTGTGGGAGCCAAGGTAGCTGCTGTTGGGTATTGGATTAGGGTTTAGGGTTTAGGGGTATAGGGTTTGGGGCTTACGGACTTGATGTGGTGGTTGCAGGGTTAGGGCAGGAGTTGGGGATAACGGTTCACGCTTTCGCTCGATGCTACGATGAGAAAGTACTCTTCGAGCACCCTGCAACACTAAACCCCAAAAGCCCCCCTAAACCCTACACCCCTAACCCTGAACCCTAAACCCTAAACCCTAAACCCTAAACCCTAAACCCTAAACCCTGAACCCTGAACCCTAAACCCTAAAATGATTTAGGCCGGCTGCCACCAAACGCCCGGTCCGGCCATCTAGAATCTCGGGCGCCTGTGCGGGCAGCCTTAGGGTTGGAGGTAGGGTATAGGGTTTAGGGTTTAGGGTTTAGGGTTTAGGGTTTAGGGTTTAGGGTTTAGGGTTTAGGGTTTAGGGTTTTGGGTGCGAGATACACTTGTGCCTCTAGTAGGATTCAGGATACACCTCGCAGAAGGGCTTTAGACTTCGGGGTCAAGTGGATTAAAAGGCTAAAACCTGTCAGGCGGCGAAAAGGACAGTCTAGCCCAATACATGAACGACTCGCACTTTCGGCGTTGAGGGTTTTAGGTTGCTCTGCTGAGCCATCAGTTTCGGTTGTCACTCATCTCTGCGAAGCGCCTAATTAAGCCCTTCTCAAGCTTCCCCGAAACTCACAGCTTCTATAGCAGTAGCCTTAAAGTTGGAACATCGTACTCCTCATGCTGTTAAGGCAAAGTAGAATCGATCCTAGCACAAATCATCCTAGATCCATGTTCCAACTTTCGGGGGTTTGCAGTACGGAAGGTTCGAGTTCCGCTGTGCCAGGTCACCGCAGACCCTAACCATAAAGAGTCAAGTTCAAGTGTCTAACACTCATGTAGTTACTCCCCCAAAACAGGCTCAGCTACCCTTGCTACTCTAAGCCCTAAACCCTTAACCCTAAAAGCCCGAAGCCGCACTACTCTAGACCCAGATACCTACCTAGCTTATTCTACCTCTGACCCTTGGGACCACGCCATGAAGCCGCAAAACCTGACGCACTGAAGTCAAAAGCTGCTTAGGGTTCAGACTTTAAGATTCAGCGTGCAGGGTTCAGGGTTTAGGGTGCAGGGTTCAGGGTTTAGGGTTCAGGGTTTAGGGTCAAAAACCTGGGATCTGTAACGGACCGAAACCTGAGCTCCAACCCATGCATGGCGTGTGGTTTTGGGGTGTAGGGTTGCGGGGCTTACAGCTTAGGGACTTGGAGATGTGTATAAAACGTATCCAACTGGGAAAACACAATTCGCCTTCACCCCTGTAAATCGTCTTCTCAAGCCCCAAGCAGGTAAACCCGACAAAGCCCTTGCACAGAGAGAAACCCTTCAAGAACCTAAAGCATCCCTCAAAGACCTCTATTGGAACAAACAGATTGTAGATTAGGGTTTAGGACGTAGAGTCTAGAGTGTAGGAGTTTAAGATTTAGGGTTTGTATAAGAAAAAGGTTAAACCAAAGAAGCCGAACAACGAAAGCAACGCGGACTAAACACACAAAGCTTCTCCTCGTCGCCCCGGGTCCAAGCAAGGCAGCGTGGGTCGCTGAAGTCGGCGCCACTCCCATCCTCTACTACGACTCTACGGTCTACAATACTTCATACAGTAATTCATCAGAGTATCTGTATTCTGTGTTCTGTCAAGGGCTCCTTTACCCGGTAGAGTGTCATGCAGGTCTGCTCCAGACGTAGATTTTAGGGTATTCTCCGAAGGCCCTAAACCCTAAACCCTAAACCCGGCTCAACTTGTGTGTTGTGAGACTTCATCCATGCATGTTCACGTGTGACACCCATGAACCCTAAGAGGTAAAGCCAAGGCCCTACACCCTGAACCCTTAGATCTGAAGCCCCTAGTTAGTAAGGCCCTACTGTAGGGGCCTAAATATTTACCTACTTATATCAGTTTGGGGGTTCCTTATTATAACTGTAGTATCATGCCCTGTTCGAATCATTAAGGCCCCTACAGTAGTCACTTGTACACCCGTAACACTTGGAAACTGGAACAAGGATAATTCGTGCTGCGATTCTCTATACCTAACGCGTTTGGATGGAAGAGATGGAGTTTCCGGCTTTTTTTGGCAAAGTATGAGCTCTGAAGTCCTCGTAGATGCCATCATCGAACTTCACACTGCACCCTAGCCTCGGCAATGATATGATAAAGACAAAGTGTCTGTGCGGAGCACTTAAGCTGAGGTATGGGTTTTCGGATGCTTTGAAGGCTAAATAGCTCAGGATTCAACCCCAACCCGAAGCGGTTAAGGGATGAGACGTGGGCTTACGGTTGAAGGTTTGGCGGTCTGGGCCTAAAGGGGCTTATGGAGGGTTTTCGTGTTTTCTGGGGCTCATATGGTTTCGTTTAGGGTTTCGAGTTTGGTAAGTTCGAGTATCCTACACCCCAAGCCACTCAAGCACTCTTTAAGCTTAGACCTTGCATCCCCGTCGCCGCCAGACGCCAACTTAAGACAGCGAAGAAACCCTTTCTAAGGCTATGAACACCATAATATATGGCATCCTATACGTTCCTGCAAGGGACACTGCAAATTTTGGAAAAAGTTACGACCTAAACCCTACACCCCAAACCCTAAACCCTAAACCCCAAAAAGTTACGACCTAGATGGCAAGGGCAGCCCGTTGTTTGGAAGGGTTCGAAGTTTCTGAGTTTACACTGTGCCGAACAGGACGGATTTTCTGGGACTATACGCCTAGAGGAGTGTCTCTCATCTCCTTTTTCTGTTCTATAGACTCTTTTGGCAAACCGTACTGAAGACCTTAACCCTAAACCCGAAACCTCATAAACCTTAAGCCCGGAACCCTCCACCCAACTGACAACCTTAACTTATTGACCCTCTAAACCCTAAATCCTAAATCCCTAACCCCTAAACCGTAAGTATACACCCGAAGTCAGAGCCTCAAATCCCAGGTTCCGAGAAGCCGAATCGACAACCCCAATCCGGGGATTGGAAACTAGGACTTGGGCTGTAACGTCCAGGAATTTCGGGCTTCAGGTTCAGGTCAAACCTCGGTACCCTAGACCCTAAATCCCAAACCCAGGAATTTCGTGTCTAGGGTTTCAGGCTTAGGGCAAGCCACGATGCAACCCTAATCCCCACACGCTAAGGCCACCGCAAACCCTAAACCCGTAACGCTTAAACCCAAGCCCTAAAGGAGCTCTTCTGCCGTCCGGCCGCAAGTCGAGGTGCTGGAGGCCGTATCCCCGTGGAAGCTCCTTCTCAAGTTCCGGTCTTCGACGGTTTTGGGGTTTAGGGTTTAGAATTTTTAAGGTTGCCGGATTAGGGTTTAAAGTTTGCGGTTTACACAGTTTAGGATTCACCATATAATAAGGCTTCAAGTTTAGGGTTGTTTAGGGTGTAGGATCTAGAATTTAGGCCTAGGCCAAGAGCGACGACCACCAAAACCTACTTTTCGGCAGGCTCCTCAAAACTTCAGACTAGAGTTGGTAATAATACACTACAAAAACAAACAGGTTTTGGCAGTTGAAGGCTTGTGGAGGTGTTTAACGACCGAAACGCTGAACCCCCGAAAGTGTTAACACGCAAAGCTTCGGCGTTTTAGGGCTTTCGGGTTGTTTGAGGTTTCGTTTTAGGGCTCTCGGTTCTCAATTCAGAGCTCAGCTTGTGGAGTTCCAGGTGTCGAGGAAGCAAAGCATGTAATGTAGGGGTCTAAATAATTACCAATACTATGTTTTTTTGTTGGGTGGGGGTCCTTTTATATTTATACTATAATGATAATGGGCGTCAAAACCTTTTCCTAATTATGAAGGCCCCTCTAGTATGAAACAGAAACCAAATTGACAAAGACTGTGAAGCACCCTAAGCGCTGGCCCCACACCCAAGTTCCCTTACACAGAGGCCTTGATCATTCGAATACGGTTTTGGAGTCGATTATACTACAAACTACAAACGTAGTAAGGAAACCCAAAATGGTATTGGTAGGTAAAGTAAGGTCCCTATCTTATTACCTACTATAACCCTCCGAAACCCTAAACCCTAAACCCGTAAACCCTTAAACCCAAACCCCTCCGAAGCCCTAAACCCTAAACCCTAAACCCTTAAACCCTTAAACCCTAAACCCTCCGAAACCCTAAACCCTAAACCCTAAACCCCTAAACCCTTAAACCCTACACCCTCCGAAACCCTAAACCCTAAACCCTAAACCCCTAAACCCTTAAACCCTAAACCCTGCGAAACCCTAAACTCTAAACCCCTAAACCCTTAAACCCTAAACCCTCCGAAACCCTAAACCCTAAACCCTAAACCCCTAAACCCTTAAACCCTAAACCCTCCGAAACCCGGTCTCCGGCCTTCAGCAGCTCCGGCGTGAAATTCTGCAGTCGGCAGCAGAGGGCACGGGCTGCGTGGGGCCAGGAGAACTTCCGGCCGATCTGTCATGTTGAGACCCTAAACCCTAAATTCTAAATCCCTTTAAAGAACCCCTTAGAAGATCCCATAAAAGGATCCCTTAAAGGGATCCTTAGAAGGATCATGTTGCGTTTTTGTCTCGTTCTTCCCGGAGGGCGTAGGGTTTGATTTGCTTGGGTTCTAGTGTTTAGGATTTAGCACCCGGATTGCTTAGCAAGCACTATGACGAGGTTTTTGAAGGATGTAAACAGACTTTCGGGGTGGGGCTGTCGAGGTTTAAGCACAAGGGGCCTCAACAGGTCGAAGGTACGAGTTTTTGTTCTGAAGCTGCTGCTGCCCTAAACCCTAAACCCTAAACCTTAAACCCTAAACCCTAAACCCTAAGCCCTAAATCCTAAACCCTAAACCCTAAACCCGGGTGTGGAAGGAATTTCGGGGAGCGGGAATGAAGGGCAAAGCGGCTTCAGGACTTCGGCTTCAGACCTCTCGGGCTCTGGGGTTTACGAGTCTTCGTGGCTTAGGATCTTGGGTTGAGGGATTTGGGGTCTAGGGTTTAGGGTTGAGGGTTTAGGCTTTAATTAGGGTTTAGGGTTTAGGGTTGAGGGATTTGGGGTTTAAGGTGTCCATTAAGTAATTGAAGCAGGGTTTAGTTCAGGAGTTTACGGCTGTGGATGTACAAACCCTTAAGTTATAAGCAGGCCTGAACACTGAAAGAAACTCTGCGCGTCGAAGTACTCCTTCCTCACATGGTAGAACTATAATCCTTCTCCGGTCATGAAAAACCAAACCCTAAACCCCAAACCCTAAACCATGCCCATGGACTCCTGGGATCCTGTCAGAAACAATCCTGGATGCTCAGCTCGCCTTGACCCCAAACCCAAGCGTTGAAACCTCACTCGAATCCCACTGTATTAACAGTTCTGCACACCCCCCCCAAACGTAAAACCCAAAACCCCAAGTAAAAACCTAGTGCAACTCTTCATGCAAGCCTTAGAGAAACCTGCAAAGGAATCCTTTCAAAACCCTTCTGGCCGTGCAAGTGGAGAGCCGCACAGGTTCCAGGACGGCGCTTAATGCGTTTCCTGGACTTTTGGGCCATAGGGGCTTCATATGGTTTTGAGGCTTCAGATGTCATATGGGTCTATGGGTCTGTAAGGGCTTGTTGTGTTTTTCAGGGGGTTTTCAGAGTGTGTTTATGAGTTAGAAGCACCCCTCAAATCCATTACATAAAGCCCTTATCTCCAAATCCCAAGACCCCAGACCCTTAACAACTAACCCGCAAACCCAAAGCCCATAAACCCCATCCTCAAACCATAAACTGTAAACCACCATAAAACCTCTATACAAATTTCGTTCAGCGCAGTAAAACTCTTGACTTGAAAACTCAGTGCACCTGCCAAACCCATGGCCGCCCAGGTGGCGATCTTGTCGCTGCAGGTTAGCGGGCCCTGGCTGAAGAAAAGGCCGAGCAGGGCTGTCTAGATTTTTCATGGTTTTTCGCAAGGGCCCCAATAATCCACCAAACATTTCGGACCCCTATATTTGAAATTCGTGTTGGCGAAGGTCCTGTACGCTCTTTGCGCGGACTTGCAGTGATGCATGAGGTCGGGGTTTAAGTAAGGTCTAGCGCATATAGTTGCTGAACAGGGTATTTGATTTGAGGGGCTCAGGGCCATTAATTAGGGGGTGTTAAGGGGCTTGCAAAAGGTGAGGCTTGGACTGTTGAGACAAAGGAATTTAGCACTCCTTTCACACCCTATGACCACCTTCCAACATCCCTAAACCCGATACGCTAAACCCCTAAACCCCTAAATCCAACCTTTACGAAACCCCTGTGAAACCCGGTAACGACAAACAAAAAACAAATGGAATCACTGAGAACGGCGGTCCAAACCCAGAGCTTACGGAAATCGAGATCATGGTTTAAGGTTTAGGGTTTAAAAAGGCGCTGCCAGGATGTCTATAGGGCTTGCAGACAGGTAAAAGGGCTTTAAACATGTTCTACAAGGGTTTAAAGTTCAGGATGGATTGAGTCAAGGGACTGTCCATGATAGAACAGCTACCACGAGGACTAGTGTAGGCATAAGCCGGAATCACGACCACTCACTGCAACAATCACCATTAAAGGCATCATCGGGGCTGCTAACCCGTGCAAACATTCTTATAGAAACCCTTGTAGAACATGTTTCAAACCCCTTCTGGACCCCAATTTAAGAACGTTATCCAAAGTCTCCTTGTACCTGTACAGTATGTACTTCGGCCTCAAACTACCCCTTTAGGGCCTAAGTATGTAAGAAGCATGAGTCCTGCTTGGCGCTGCCCCAGGCTTGCAGAAACCTCGGTGGCGATCGTTCGAGCTCGGCTGTAGGGTTCACACCGGGACTCGATGAGGGGAGGGCTTTCGGGTTTAAGGCTCTATACAGCTTTTATACGGGTTCTGTGAGGGTTTTCTACAAAACTTGTGTGAGGGATTAGGCGTTGGGGTTGCGGTTGCTCTATGAAAGGTGTTTCAATGAGGGATTGAAATGCCTTCGAACAGTCTTCACGTTGAGTGGAACTTAGGGATTTCGGCATACCCCGTGAGCATGCCATACAACCCTGAAGCCCAGATATAACACACACATACAAACACAAAGAGAGAGGGAGAGAGATCTATTCAAATATGTGTGTGTATATATATATATATACACATACGCATGCATGCCATTGAACCCCCGACTAAAACTACTGAAAATTAAACCCTGCGCCCGAAAACCCTAGAACGCGCACACACCTCCCTAGCCCTAACCCTGAAACCTCCTTTCTAGAAAAACTCTTAACCCACATAGATCCCCCAAAAGAACCGTTGAAGGAACCCTTTAACTCCCTAAATAAAGCCCCTCGGTCGTAAGCCAATGTAGGGGGCCGACTAGATAGTTATCGTTTAGGGTTTAGGGTTTGGGGGGTTCCTTACTACTATACTATAATGGGCCCCAAAACCCTGTTCTAACTATTATTAAGACACCTGTACTATCTTAAACTAGACCCTAAGCCCTAAATCTAGAAGTCTGGAAACCACGGCACTCGGTACCGGCAGGTGTTTCGGCGTCTGGTACAGAAACGGCGGCCTTCACGTCGTCTTCGGTTCAGGGTGTAGGGCTTTGGTGTTCAGGGATTCCTAGTATCCATCTTAAGAACAGAGAACAGTGCTTGATTGAGTGTTGCTTGTATTTCTGGCGCTGGTTTTTGTTGGTTGTTGCTCTACGTATCTTGGGGATGGTTGCGTTCTTGCTAATATGATGCGCGGTGTTATGTACTGGAGTCCCCCCCAAGACCGTCGTTTCGTTTGGGATGGCGTCGGGCGGGCCGAAAGGCACGCAGGCGGCATCACGTATCAGCATTTGGGGAGTAGGCCTCTGTCGCATCTGAGTTTTGAACGAATTGTTGAAAAGCTTTCTGCAGGTTCATTAGTAATTAGAGTAGGGTTTTGGGGCTCTGTGTACTATAATCATAATAAGGACCCCCCCCCCCTCCGAAAAAAACAAAAAACTTATATAGTATAATTGGTATTTATTTAGGCCCCTACATTTCCCCCTGAGAACTGAGGAGCCTTGCCGAGCTCAGACTCCAACCCAAAACGGTCTAGTGTCTTAGGGTTTAGGGTTTAGGGTTTAGGGTTTAGGGTCTAGGGTTTAGGGTTTAGGGTTTAGGTTTGAGGGTTTAGGGGTTAGGGCTTAGGGTTTAGAGTTTAGGGTTTAGGGGTTAGGGGTTAGGGTTTAGGGTTTATGGTTAAGGGTTGAGGGTTTCAAGGGCTTGGGGTTTAGGGGTTTCGGTAGAGGGTTTGCAGTCAACCTAGAAGCTGACAGAACTCCGATATACTCTCGAAGCCATCCAAGAACCCAAGACCCCAAGTGGACCCGAATACTAAATGTTTAGGGCTTAGGGTTTAGGTTACTTCGGTTACTTCATCCGAAGCTCCAACCCCCCAAACCCTTAACACCCAAGCCTCTACATCCTAGTCCTTTCTATAAAAGCCAGACACCGTTCATGAACAAAACATCCCCTGAAGCAACCCTAGTAACAATTTTGGAAACTTTTTATATACCCTAAACCCTGAACCTTACACCCTAAACCCTAAACCTTAACCCCCAACATTGTACAGCGAGAGGTGAGGTGGAGGCCTTCGCCAAGAATGAAGCCTGGCCCTCGTGACGTGCCTCAACGGGCATGCGAGGTTTGCTTTGCTTTCGGGTCTTCGGTTTCGGATTTTCGGGTTTTTGATTTCAGGGTTGAAGGGCTTGAAGGTTTGGTTTGGGGTGTAGGGTTTAGGGATTAGGGATTGCTTGAAGGTTTGCAGGATTGAGGGTGGAAGGCTTTAAGGGCTTCAGAGAGGTTTAGGGCTTAGGGTCTAGGCTTTAGGCTTTGGGGTTTAGGGTTTGGGGTTTAGGGCTTTGGAGTTTAGGGCTTAGTACCCTCCCTTCCCCCCCTGCTCCCCACCCTGCCCCCTCAAACCTTGTTCAAGCCTTCCTGAAATCTCCCTGCCAGGGTAGCCATGCATTCCCAGCATGGGATCCTCTGTCTTTTTTTGTGGTGCCTTGGGACCATCTTGAACGCGAAGTGATATAGGCACCCCTGAACACTAAACCTCTAAACCCCTAAACCCCAAAATCCCAAGCCCAAAACCCTGGCCCTACATCCTAAACCCCCTCATCATATAGGGGCCTTAATAATTAGAATGGGGTTTTGGGGTCCGTGATAGTATAATTACAATAGGGAACCCCCCCAAAAAATAGGTAATTACTGAGGCCCCTATATCAACCCATAAACCTGCGGAATGTCCCCAAGCCCTCCAAAAACCTTGACTCGAGCTAGGAATGCTCAACTCTGGAACATCAACTTCACATTGGGTTTAGGGTTTAGGGCTTAGGATTTAGGGTTTAGGGTCTAGGAGGAATCCTCACGATAAGGACTCCTGATTACGAAATTGCTATCAAACACTAGACCCTAAATGCCAAACCCCAGACCCTAAACCCTAAACCCACACCAAGCCGCATGGAGGTGTATCCCCCTGAACCCTAAACCCAGAACCCACACCAAGCCGCATGGAGGTGTATCTTCGGGTGCAGCTGCTTTGGCCACTCCGTCTTTGTGTCAGCGTCAAGCTTCGGACAAGTACCTGCCCAAAGGCTCCAAACCGATTGGTTTAGGGTTTAGGGTTTTAGCTACGANNCCTAAACCCTAAACCCTATAGACCTTGATGGTTTAGGATTTAGGGCTTCTCGGCTTTAGGGAGGGCATAGGGTCTCAAACTAGAACTCTCAGCAAGATTCACGCTATAGTCCTCATCTGAGGGCTACGGGGCTAGGGTTTTGTTGGCCTCAGTGGCTCTGTCGTCCCCTTCAACATACGATCCGAGAGAAGGCCCAGCAGGTGTTGACTATGTTCAGGCTTAGGTTTCTATGTAGTGGCCCTAATGGTTAGTTTTTTTTTTTTTTTTTT